TAGTTCTCTCATGGAATGCTAGATAAACATGTCAATTAGTTAAGAACAAGTAGAGGAATGAATCTGTCAAAAGTTTAATTGCTCACTTTCCTTTGTTATTGAGAGGCTTTTCTCTTTTTCTTTGGCCTATGTGAAGGGAAGCTCAAGTTATTGAAGATTTAAAATTAAAAGAAAAACGAGTTAAAAGACTTAAGGTAAAGTGACTGCCCTATCTTTGTCTTCCTTAAACACGAGTCTAAGTAATGATATTTTAAGTGTATTATTGATAAGAACTTGTGGGATGATGATGGGAAACTATGGTTTCACGTCCTCTATTGTATGTTGGATTGTTAGGACTGTTTTTGGGACATGTTGATGTATAAACATATTGGGGACAACTTGGTTGATATCTGGAAAGGGTATAAATTGTTGATGTTGAAATATAGTTGTGTAGTGTACAAATGCAATAAAAGAAGGAGGGGATTGAAAGAACAACCTTAGTTTGGTAATTACGGGTTTGCTGCCCGAGCATTATTGTTGAGTGAGATTGGACTGCCTAAGCATGTTTAGTAACTACTAATACTAGTTTATCACCTACTCTATTGTAGATAAGTATTTGAAAAGAAAGGAAGGTACTTCAAGGTAACTACAAAGTGGTACAGCAAGGTATGTAAGGCTTTTTGATTTCCTACTAATTGGCATGAAATCTTGACTAGTCCTCGACACATAGAGGCAGCCTACCAGCTCCAACACGACTTATGACCTTGTTCTCACTCTTTAACATGTCTACACATTCCAATACATGTTCATTATCAAATCTGTACGTATACATTGAATACCCTGCATGAGTTCTCCTTTTAACTAAATAAGGTCCATATGTTATTTCAGCTCCTATGCATTTCACTAATTGTGTAACTACTCTCTACTTTGTTGTTCTTGCATTATATGATTATTACATGTCACTTGTTGACTACATAGTCCCACAACTCGAAAATGCTATGACCACCAAAAGAATCATCTCAAATGTTAATGGAAAGATATGAAATGAATCTGCTTATTGATGGGTGGTATCCCAGGGGTGGAAGAATCACCTAGCATGGGTCGATCCCAATATTACGGGTGGTATCC